GGGGGGGGATTTGTTTACTGGGGGGGTCGTAAACAAGGTATAAGTAAATTACAGTTTATTACAGGTGTAACCCTTGCGGCTACAGTAACGTCCATCTTAAGTAGCGTAAATCCTGTGAAAACAGCCATTCAATAAAGCAGAAGTTGAAAGTAAGGTTTCTGGACGCCATAACAGTCTCGTCTTAAAATGGTGAACTGTGCCAGTTATTGCAAAACAACCCTGCCTCAGCGCCTGCTATCTCTCCCTGCTGGGTTGTCAGCCGTTGATAACCGGTTAACTCCTCTGTTCTCAGAGCCAGTTGCTCCATTAGTCGATATTATTTTAAAATCTTTATTAAACAGCAGAGAATACAAATGAAGTACATCATCAAAAGACCCCATATTTGTTCGTTTAACTATACAGAAAATAGTATCAAAACCCACACAGGTCAAACAAGCAAAAAAAACCAACCCATGTTTTGCACTTCAGTCTTGCCTCAAAATAAGCTATACAGGTAACAAATTCAGTTAAAGTAAATTGTCCAAGAACACACTGATTGTTAGGTTTAACTCTTGAACTTCAGGGTCTTGTCATTCAAATTAATTTTCATGTTCTTAAGAACTCAGGAAAGACTTGACCTGTGAAAACAAAACCGTATATATTTGAAGCATTAAAAGAAAAGCTAAATCATTAGGCTTTTCCTTTTCTTGGGGAACAAATGGTTTGTTACTGTACAGTCTCCAGTGCTGTTCTGCCTCTACATATAATCAATGAGCTGAAATGCTTTTCAGTATAGCAGATGGCTGGGAAGCTAAGATTTTGTAAGTTAGTACTAGGTAGAATTGAGTGACTTAATTACTGAAAAATATGAAGTGCCTTTATGAAAGGTAGCTTCTGGAATGCTTTAGAGAGTGTTACTTCACTAAAGAAAAATGAATTTTCCTTCGTTTAGTAGCTCTTTCCTAGGAAGAGAGGGATTGTCTGAAAACAAAGGCAAAGAGATCTAGTAGCACTTTCAGTGTGGTGCTGCGCCGCAAGTTGAAAGTAGAGCTGACCTTTTCATGTGCTGGGTGGTGAAGGGAGTTTGGTGGAGACAACACTGGTGGCCTTTCAGTGGGGCAAATTAAAAGAAAGATAGCATGTATGAGTGTAGTCTGGTTCATAGCTCTCTAAGCTGTTAAAATGCTGGTTTCCCTGAGGATATAACTTAACAAATACCTCCAAAAATGAACATTGGGCTTAGCTCTATATAGAGCTATTTACTGGGGAGAACTGGGCTTGGGTTGAAAGAGTCATTCTTCAGTGATCTCAAATTGACCCAGAACAAGATGGAGAAAATGGTTTATACAGTTTGATTGGAGGGCACTTCTTTCCATCTTATATCAGTAGTCCTGTTGACGCAGTGGGGGAAAGGAAGGTTAAAGTGTCCCGGTGAGCGAAGTAAGTAATGTTACAGCTCTCCTTGGAAGGTTGGGGATGAGCCTCATGCCTCTAAGTATTAGGAGGTTTTTTTTTCCTGTGGACTGGGCACACAGCACATGACTCCAGCAGAAGAATTTCTTTGGGCATTTACTTCCTAAGTCTTGCCTTTCCTTGGAATTGGCAAACACCATTTTGACTCAACTGATCTATTTATTACCACCTTGTTTCCTCAAATGGCTGTTGACTCTCCCTCCCAACTCTACTTGGAAGTGTCACTTCATGCATTTAGAACTATGTACGAGATTTAGCTATCTCTGCATTTGTCAGATGTGTTGTGCTCTGTCCAGGAAGAGCCTAGATCGCTCGAGTGTGAGGGGGCGTAAATGGCTCTAAGCTGACTGCAGGATTTTTCTAAGGACATAATGGCTGACGTGAATTGGACAGTATCATTCTGTGAACTATTTAATGAACAGTATGGCAGTGCAGACTTGGCAGAAAGCAGTCTGACTACTCCAGCTGCTTTGTACTTGCATCCCCCACAATTGCCCCTTTTCAAAAACACCCAGTTTTCCCTTGAATTGTGAGGATAAGGAGGTGGGGTTAAATGATTTTTTTTTTTGAAGGAAAGTAAAAAACCGTTTCTGCAGCCATGGAGCTTCCTAAGTCTGTGAAGGATACTGATTGTACTAGCCCCAAACAAGCACTTAATCACAAATTTCCAGAATGTAAATTGATAACTTGGAGATATTACTGCAGAAGAGAAGCAGATATGAGGAAACATTATTTAATAAACTTACCTTATCAATCAGGTACTCCTGTTTAATCTTATCATTCTTAAAATCTTCGTTAACGTCCAAAACTAGAATGGGAATCTCTTTAAGGTTCTCAAAATCAACTCTGTTAAATGGAAGAACATAATGCTAGTAAAAATGGTATAAAATACTGTGTATAAAACAATCCAGCTCTTCAGTTGCTTTCCAAGTCGTCCTAAGGGTGCAGCATTACTCAGATTACCACGTGCACCTAGATGTTAATGTTGATGCCCATGACTTGAGTTTAAAGCTCAAGTCAAGTCTGTCCTTAATTGCTCTTGTATAACCCGGTCAACATTGTATCACCATAACTTTAATGTATTTCACAAATCTGGCCTTTTAATATCTATTTTTTATTGCAGAAGTAGGGGGGAGAGATAGTTTATGCTTCTTAACTTAATTTCCTTTACCTCATTCTTTTTGTCATGGAAACAATTATCAGGAATGTGATTTTGATAAGAGGAAGTATTTTTAAAAATATCACTTGTCCTGTGTCTCCCTCACCCCTTTCTAGTTAACTGCTAATCCATTTACTAAGGTACAGTTTTAAAGCTTCCTTTCATGGGGATGACCTCTTTAACAGGTTATAAGACTAGTATTTAAAATGGCTCTGAGATAAGCAAGACCGTTTTGGCTACAGGTTAGGAGTAACGAGAGCAGGAGTTGTGCAGCTGGATGTACTGTTCTCTTAAAGCAGTAGTTACACTCTCTTCCTATGTGTGAAAAGCATTTCTAAAATGCAGTTAAGTGTGCTGAACAGCATTCTAGCTTGTGTTCGCAGACTTAAGTGTTCCTATGAAAAATGCAGGAAATGCTTGCTCACAAGTTTGGAATGAGTACACAATGTAATCTCTTGTCTCCTAAGCATTTGGGTGGTCCTACATGAAACTTAGGAAAGTAAATATGACTGACAACAGAATTTTCCTGGAATTGTTATGCTTCCTATTCAGTAGAGTATTTCAGGCTCCTCTAGGGAAAAATCTAAAGTCTGTTTTCCCAGTTAGAGATTCCTTAGATGAGAAAGCTACTAAGTCAGTAAGGAAGCTGGGGCTAAGGTATGCAGAGATGCCTTAGTTGCTGAGTGGTTTTCTTGTGTGCAATAGCGCCTGCCAAAAGCCTTTCTGATTATTGTTTATTTTGAAACTAGGATTAATATTTAAACCTTGTTGAAATACAGTCATCCTCGTTTAAAGGTAGTTGGGACCTTGGCCTCCCTTACATTGGAACTGGAAGCTGCTTAGTAGGTAATTTATGTGATAAGCCATCGAACACGATTTCAACTCTGTCCTATTCCTGTGTATTTCCAGTTAACAAAATCTATCCTTGCTGGAGTTAGAGCTACATAGCTTTCTAGTTGAAGCAAATGCTTAACAAAGACTTTAAATGAGATCGAGTTCCATCTTTTGGCAATTTTTACTCCTTTGCCAAGAGAAGGCCTTCCCTCTGCATATAACCTAGGGTAATCATCTCTGTGGCAAAAAACCTAGAGGGGGTCTAAAGATAAGTCCTTCCAACTGTGCCTGAATGAAGCTACATTTAAACCTTAGTTTTATCCCTAACCAAGTTTAGTATAAGGTAGGAAAGAGCTTTGCCTGTAAGTTGAAGCATGCCTACAGAAAATGGGTTCATACCTCATAGTCCTTTCGTGAAGCCAGGCTTCATGTTTATAGTGGAGGTTTTCCAAATACTCAAGCTCAATTCCTTGCTCCTCTTCTCTTCCCCTCATCTGTAGCCTTTCCATGCATTTCTGGAAAAAAGGACAAGCTTGGACATTAATCATGTGTTGAAGGCTAAATCAGCTATACAGATCAAGTAGTCCCTAAATGGAAGGACTAGTGCTAGACATTAGTGAGTATTATTTATGTTCAGCCAAGCATTTAAAATTAAGTTAAATCTAGAATTACTTTTAAAAAAACCAAAAACAACCAAAAAACCAAAATGCAAACTTGAGCCACTTTAGCTAAATGTCAGTTCTTAATAAAAGATTGTCTTAACTTCAGTTCAGGACTATATGGGAAAGGAAGTCAAACCTAATGCAGAAGTTCAGTTTCAGCCTTGGATCCTTACTGAGAGTGGTGGATGCTAGCAACTGGAATTTGCTGACATCAGAATAGTAGCTCAGAGGGAGGGTTTTTAATTTGGTCTCTGAATGAAATCTGAGCTTATGATAGGCTTCCCGTTACATCTGGCATTGGGGAAACTAATTCGGTGTTGGCCACTGAAGTATTATGAATACTGAGGTTTTTGTACCCTCTTAAGCTCCTGGAAACTGAAGTTGGAGCTGAAATATTTTCACCTTTAGTGAACATACCTGAGGTGTGGTTCTTAGGTAGATCATGCCATCCAGTTCTATATCTGATTCAAACTGATTCAAAAGCCATGTGTGCCAGTCCTGGTAAATAGCCCACTCTGTTTCAGTAATGTTTCCAGACTCGAACAGGTTAGAAGCAAATACATATCTGCAATGAAAGACATTAGTCTCATACCAGGAATGACCAAAGCGAACTACTAACTTCTCATTAGAATCAGAATCATGGCACTGAAAAAATAAGTTTCCCCAGCTCTGTATCTTTGAGCATAAAGAGCTGGAGCTGTTAATCTGAACTCCTGTTGTGTTGTGAGAGTAATTACCTGTCACTGTAAACGGATCTCTCAAAAAATTGCACTGGATGTTCTGCTTCATGTAGCTTGGCTGAGACAGGTTTTAATTGTGCTCTTACTCGGCTCAAGCAAGCATAAGTCTGAAATGTGTAAGCCCATCTTGTGGGTTTATCATACAGCATTTGAAGCAGATTTCCTCCACTCTTCTGAGATGTTGAAAGTTCCTAGGGGACAAGAGACAAAACTTAAAAACTGCATATTTGCAGGATTTTATTCCCTTTTCTCAATCCAGAATTCTGGTATGTTGGAGGAAGAATTCATGGCCTTGTATATATATTTTTTTTCCTTAGGAAAATGATTAGGCATAGGAATAGAGATTTGTTTGTCAGCTAATGGTAGTCTTTGACAGCATCTTTAGAATAGGTTGTTCACCGAGTTCCAGACTTAAATGTGATTCTGGTGGAGTAGGCGTAGTTATTTGGAATATGCATTCAGTAATACCTTCCTAAGTAGCCTCTACAACTTGTGAGTGTTTGACCAACTGGTGTGATAGTGGGGATGAGTCTGGATGCTCCAGACAAGGTATAGCTGAATTTGGCATGGCTCCTTAGCCAATGACTGCTGTTTTTTCTGTGACCCATCTCTCTCCCCAGCTTTACCAAATCCAGCACACCTACCTCGTACTCATCTTCAGCTGTTTGGATGTTGCACCACTTGGCGATGGGCTCAGGGATGATCTCCCACTCATCGCTGTGTTTCTCTAGTAGCCTGACAAATGTTGACTTCCCTGCAGCTGCAGAAGATTTTAAAAGTTCACTGAGGGTGTAGATTAGTCTGGTCTTACTGATAAAGAGACAGTGGCAGTTGTGAGGTGTCTTAAAGAGGCTGTAGGCAGTGGTGCTGCAGCGGTTGAGGTGCAGAGCTGCAGAGGAGCCCGGGCAGGATTTGGGGGACGCTGGGAGCCAGGGCTAGGCGCTGGGGGCCGCCTGCACCATGCTAGCGCACCTTCCGAGAAAACAGCTCTAATCTCCGGCGCCTGAAGGCCGTGCCTTATCGCCGATAAGGAGCCGGCAAGGCCGAGGCTGCGCCTCCATTTTAGGAGCAGGCTGAGCTGGGGGCGGGGCTTAGCGCGGCATTGTTCGGGAGCCGGCGGAGGAGAGGGA